GGGCGTGGCATATGTTTTCGCGTAACCTCTGGGAGTACACGATGTTCGAGAAACCGTAAATATGTGACACTATCCACAGTCTCTCCGTTCTGTAAAATCTGATATGTTAGCACTTGTTTTTTCCAAAATGCTATTATCATCATGTATTTCTTTTGTTGAGGTTCTGGCTTCAATGTCTTCGGCCTATCTCATATACAAAAAAAATCCGGTGATAAAATATATTTTATAAAATTGAAAAAATATTTTTGTTTTAGAAACATGTTACCCCCTTTTGCCCCCTAACGCCTTTTGCCCGGGGAGTAACCATTCACTACTTGATTTTGGATCTTCAGGGTCATATGTTTTAGCCCATGTTTCTTCAATTGAAATTATTTTATCCAGAAAGCCAGATTCCCGTTGATAACGTGCAAGGTGTTTTCCAGCTATATTCATACGACATTGCATTTGCCTTTGTGTTAGTTCATGAGGGACCCATCTCGACTTTATTTTACGTGCACCAATTTCTTTTAAAAGTCTATATCAGCTAGCTTGAGAAAGGCCAGTTTCATATATGATATCTTCGGTTCGCATCCCATCGCTCCCAAAAATTAGCTGTTTTATGGTTTCATTATTTTCTTCACAAGTGGCTGTCCTTGGTCTTCCTGGTTTAGGCAAATCACTAATATCTGTACGCTTACCATCTTTAAAATCCCCATACCAGTTATATACCGTACTTTGGCTTAGATGACCTTCAGGGATTGCGGTCTGCAATTCGGCCAAAACTACCCTAGGTGACCTGTCAAGTAGCACACTAATCTTGATATATGCCCTCTGTTCTTCATTAGTAACACTCTCACGAAGTTTGTCTATTTTTGAAGGGTTAATTAAATTGATTGCCAACGTGGCAATAAAAAAGACTTAGTTGGTAAGCCATTACAATAATGTAGTAATTAATGCTTATTCATAATATAACAAGTATGCTTATCTCAATTAAATAAAAAAAATATACCTTATCAAAGTGTTTCCAAGGTATTTTGATAACAGACTATTTACTATAACTATTAGATCATTACAGTGTATTATATTATATTTTTTTAAATGATTCATAAAATTTAAAATTATTAACAATTAATACATTTATAGGTGATGACAATTTACAGGAATGTATGCAAGAAATGCAAAATTTGATAAAAGTTAGGTCAGAATATTGTGTCCGATATATCAGTCAATGGTTTGAAAACAATGTGTTTTACATTGAAATGGAGTTGTGTTCCCATAGTCTGCAGAATATTCTTCAATACAAACCACAAGTATTTGGTCGACAACCGGGAGAACCCATGAATTCAATCGAGTTTTACATTTCGTGTCATATATTCAAAGAGATCTTGACTGTAAGGAACGGCAGGTTTTTCAAAATATGTGACTTTGGTTTGGCTACTGTTCACCAGCACTCGTTAGATAAGGGAGACCTGCAATATCAGGCGCCAGAAGTTGGTCAGGGAGTGGTCTATAATGAACTGAATCCTCCGGTCATACATAGAGACTTTAAACCCGACAATATATTAGTGGCGAAGACTGTAAGGAACGGCAGGTTTTTCAAAATATGTGACTTTGGTTTGGCTACTGTTCACCAGCACTCGTTAGATAAGGGAGACCTGCAATATCAGGCGCCAGAAGTTGGTCAGGGAGTGGTCTATAACCATAAGATAGATGTCTACAGTTTGGCTAAAATTGCAGAAAATGATATTTTGGGATTAATTTGGAGGTCGAACTGTAAGATAATGTGATTTAATATTTAAATTATTTAATACTTAATTGAGTTTATTATTTATTTGAATATATTCTTTAGTTTAGAAAAGTATTCAGACAATGAAGTTATAAACAAATGTGTGTTTAAATTAAAACAAATATTGCATTTAATGTCATACTATAACTGGGATCACCCGCACATACCCGGCCCTCACTGGACAGACAGATTCGAGTGTTCACATGTATTATCAGAATATAACTTATGGTCTATTCATGAGAATTGTCTCAAAACTGATCCCAAATTTGATTCCACACTAAAACTCATTCAACAAAACGATTACAAGTTTTTTATTCAATATTTTAATGCAAAATACAAAGGGATTTAAAAGAAGTTAAAGAATATTCACTAAAATTCATAAATATTTTAATTAATATACACAGGAATGAGAGCACCCGGATTCATATTTGAAGCTTATAATTTTAATATTACCATATACTCGAGATATTTGTATTTAAAACCGAATATATTAATAACTTAAAAATTAAATCAATATTAATTACAAATTAAATTATTTTAAATAACAAATGTATTTTCAAGTTTTTCATAATACACAATTATTATTCAAATATCAATTGTTTTTCTATGCACACTTTGCTCATTTTTATATTACTTTTAATTCTTGAAGCTCTAATTATACAAGGTACAAGGTGAGATCATGTTATGCTATTATACACTGCGTAACGATAGATTAAACTAAGAATTTAATTGCAAATAAAACAAAAAATAGTTAACCAAATTATACAAAACTTTATGAACACATAAATCAGTTACTAATAGACAAATCCTATAAGTTTTTAATGAAAAATATAACTCAGGTATTAGTACCGGTGCTCATCATGATAAGCAGTACTTTAAAATCGTAACGAAAGTTTAGACTAGAAGCGCGTG